CAGCAGCAGCAGCAGCAGCACGCAGCAACACGGATTACCCACCAGCTGCTCGAACGCTAAACAGCTGCAGATCTCGATACTGTGCAAACACAAGCGAACGCGAGGCAGGCCATACAGGCACACTGAAAGGCCCCATACTAGTAGCAGCAGCAGCAGCAGCAGCAACAGCAACAGCAGCAGCAGCGGGAAGTGAAGCAGCACAGATAATACAAAAGGGAAACTAGATAGCCTGGCCTGCTCGCCAGATAAGGGCTTGCCTTTAAAGCCGCCGGGCGCTCCGGTGTCTCCGCAGGCAGCAGCTGCAGCAGCAGCAGTGCTCTGTATGCATCAGCAGCAGATGGCAACAGCGACGCCCCCGCTGTAGATAGTATAAGACCCACAGTCCCCATGAGCCTCTCAGCTGCAGCATGCAGCAGCGGTGCTGCCGGTGTTGCTGCAGCTGCTGCTGGGGCCTCTGTCGTCCGCAGCAGCTGCAGCAGCAACTGCTGCTGCCGTTGATTCAGCGGATGCTGTGCCTCCCTACTAGACCGCTGCAGCAGCAACTGCTGCAGCAACACGGTGGATGCTGCTGCTGTTGCTGCACCCACACACGCCATCAGCTGCAGTGTCTCTGCAGCAGGGACCTCCCAAGGGTTCAAAGGCACATACTGCAGCCGGCAGGTGACCCCAGCAGCAGCAGCAGCAGCAGCAGCAGCACTAGCTGTTGCTGCTGCTGCAGGTGCAGCAGCTGTTGCCTCAGCCGATTCATCTGGGGGCGCACTTTGCTTCTGCTGCTCCTGGGGGGGCTGCTCCTGCTGCTGCAGTGACTGCTGCAGCGAAGACTGCAGCTGCAGCAGCTGCTCCCTCGTCTGCTGCAGCATAAACAGCAGTGCAGCAGCGCCTGGCTGCTGCTGCAGCACAGCAGTAACCCGAGATCCCTTGGCTCCCCCACCTTCCCCTTTCAAATCTTCGTGAGTGTTCTGCTGCTGTTCCTGTTGCTGCTGCCCTTCGTGCTGCTGCTCCTGCTGCTGCTGCTGTCCCTGCTGCTGCTGCTGCAATTCACGCTGCTGCTGCAACTGGGAAGGTTCAGCAGCAGCAGGTGTAGAGAGGAGACTCATAAGCCGCGCCGTCTCCTTGGCGCTAAATGCAGCTACTGATGCACCCAGCCCTGCTGCTGCTGCTGTTGCTGCTGCTGCTGCTGCTGCTGCTGCTGCTGCTTCATCCTCCCGCGGGATGAACGCGTCCGCTGCCTTCAGCAACTCGACGCTGGCCTTACGCAGCTGTAGCAGCTGCTCTTTCTGCTGCAATTCGTGCTGCTGCTGGTGCTGCCGCTGCTGCTGCTGCTGCTGCTGCTGCTGTTGCAGTGCATCAGCAGCAAGTGCTGCAAGGCTTCCGAGCGCAGCCTGCTGCTGCAGGTGGTTCTCTGGGCTGCAGCGCAGCAGGAAAGAAGCGGCGCTGCAGAGGAGCTCGGGCAGTGGCAGCAGCTGCAGCAGCAACTGCTGCTGCTGCTGCTGCTGCAGTGCTCGCCGTTGCAGCAGCGGCTGGGCCTGCTGCAGCAAGTGCTGCAAGGCGGAGCAGAAAACAGCAAACTCATGGGGGGAGAAGCAGCTTACTGCTTCTGGCTTGATGGCAAACAGCTGCTGCCGCTGCTGCTGCTGCTGCTGCGCTTGCTGCCGCTGCTGCTCCAGCTGCTGTTCCGGCAGCAGCCATGTGTCTATACTGCGCCGAACAAGCAGCTGCAGCAGCTCCATGCTGCAGCAGTTGCTGGCAGCAAATACAGCAGCCACGTCTGCTGCTGCTGCTGCTGAGAGGCAATGCATATCATCAATAAACTCCCGCGTCAGCGGCAGCAGCAAAGACGCAGAAACAGGCCTCTGCGAAGGCAGCCGCTGCTGCAGCAGCAGCAGCAGCCTGTGCTGCTGCTGCATGCTACTCTCCAGCTGCTGCTGCTGTGGCAGCGCGAAGTGCTGCATAAAGAAAGGCGCTGCTGCTGCTGCTGCTGCTGCTGCTGCTTGGGTGTATCTGCAGCAAATCAGACGCAGCACTGCAGCAAGAGATGACACCGGCAGCAAATCCCTGGATGCAAAAATACGGTCACAGAGGCTTTTCCAGAAGGGCAGGTCGTCTCTTTCTGCTGCTGCTGCTGCTGCTGCTGCTGCAGCAGCAGCAGCTGGGCCGGCTGCTGCTGCTGCTGCTTCTGCTGCTGCTGCTGTTGTTTCACGCCAGCGGGCTAGAGCAGTGGCAGCAACGGCCTCAAGAGAAGCAGCAGCAGCAAAGGCTGGAGATACTGCGTCTGCTGCTGCTGCATCGCCAGTAAGAGAAACGACATCTCTACCGGCAACCCCCAGGCCTTCGACTGGGGGCCCCCCACGGAGCTGCAGCAGCTGCGTGTCTTGCAGCTGATACAGCTGCTGCTGCTGCAGCTGCTGCTGCCCCAGAGCAGCAGCAGCAACACCCGCTGGCTGGGCAAGGGGAGAAGACCCGCATGCAACGCCACGAGGGGGTGCAGCAGCAGGGAGAGGAGGAGCTGGCAGCAGCTGAGGATGATGTTTGCTGCGCTTCGCTGCTCGCCGTCTTTCTATCAAATGTTTCAGGTGTATAGACAGCGGAGAAGGCATGTAATCTGCTGCTGCGCTGCTGCTGCTGCTGCTGCTGTTTTTCGGCAGCAACTGCAACAACGGCTGCTGCTGACGCTGACGCGGGATGATGAAGAGAGGAGCAAGATCTGCTGATGCATGCACAACGCTGCGTCTCCTCGTGTTGCTGTTGAGGTATATCACGCGGGAGTCTGTACTGAATCCTCGGCTGCTACCGCTGCTGCTGCTGCTGCTGCTGCTGCTGTTGCTGCTGCTGCTGCTGTTGGCGTTGCCGCGGTGCGCAGAGCAACAGGGATACAGTGCGCGTTGCTGCTGCTGCTGCTGCTGCAGCACCCACGAACGGACTGCTGCAGCTGTAGAAGGGGGGCCTCGGGCTAACATCTTCAGTGGTTGCTGCGGTCTAGTTCTGCTGCTGCTGCGGTGAAGGCCGTTACTGCAGCAACTGTGTTGCAGCAGGAGCCGCAGCTGCTGCTCGTGGGGCCATGCCCGGGTATATCCTTCTCCCCCCTCTTTATCTCGCAGCCCCTAACACTACTAAATTAATCATACGCGCATGCAAGACTCGCTGCTGCTGCTGCTGCTGTCCAAACAACCGCAGCCGCAGCAGCAGCAGCAGCAGCAGCAGCAGCAGCAGCAAGAGACTCAGGTTCGATATGTGTGGCTGTTATTGTCTGTGCCGGTGTTAGTGGAAATTTTT